GTATAAATTTTTGTTCGCAAGAGGGCAAATTATGGTCGCCAAAAATTTCCCTTGGCAGCTTGGAAACGTTCAACTCGTATTGATCGTAGATGTTGTGGAGGTATATTTACAGGAAGATTCGTTTCACTCTTAAATTAAAAAGATATCAGCAGGACAAAAAGTAAGTCACCAGTTGGCAAATAGCTTTGAGGTTTCAATTTTTAATCATTTTCTCCGAACGTGAAAGTTCACAATAACAACCAGCTTTACAAGTCGCCAGCTGGCGACCAGCTATGAAATTCTGGTCGCCAGAACTGAATTTTTGGTCGCATTGGCGACCAGGAAGGCGCAATTTCGGACCCTGCTTATTCCGTGTTTTCATTCAAGTGACCATGCAGCGGACGTGTTAATTCTTTACAACCAAAGAATGTCTGAGACACAGAAATTATGAAGTGGAAGCACCGCTTTTTTCAACATCCGCGATAATCAGCTGGATGCCTATCAAGCAAAAATATGGAAACTTGGAAAAGCGGCAAGATGGGAAGTGATCACTAAGAACGTGGTGTCCTTTTTCGAAAGTGAGGAAGTGCCCAGAGAAACTTACGCTTTCTTGTTTAGAGTTTCAAGGAAATAACGCAAAAATGCCAGCTTGTAACTACATAGATTCTGGATGTAAACCTTGGCAAATTTCTGTAAAATGTTTTTTTTATCATTAATTCTTAAGTTTTATGGTGTAAATACTCCTTTATAGCAATTTTTGAACGCAATTAACTGTAACAAAGAATGTACCGTAGTTTATTTACTCTTTGGCCTTTCAAAACACACCTGATACTCGTCTAATTGATTTTGTTCATTCTTCTATTGATTTGTTAGCTACTGAAACACCTACTTTTGAGAGTTCCATGGCTCCTGAGGGAAGAGGAGTGGGGATAGGGGAGGAGGAGATGGAGGGAGCAGATCCTGTTGTCCTATTCAAAATTTTTTGGAAACGACACTTAAAAAGCGCTGCGTGAAAGACTATATGCACCATTTCCAGTAGCAAAACGTCGCGTTTTAACTGTCCTGGCCGGCTAGCTCTTGTTACTCAAATCTTATCCCCGGTGCTTACAGGGAAACTTATCGCCGAGAAGAATGGGGAATATCAGAGACTAAGTCGTTTTCTCATTCAGTTTGTTTTTGTTTATTCAAATGTCCTTTTTTAATGGCCGTTGTGTATACAGTGGGAATTTAGCACACAAAGTTACCGCGATGTTGTCACTACGCTGAGCACACTGAGCTTTCCATGCAGTTCAAATTGATTCTATTTAATTTAATCATGGGTTCGTAGCTTCAGATATGTTGTCTTCCTAGGGCAACAATGGTCCCTCGTTTGTCGCGGTTGCTGCAGTATTTTTTCCGAGAAACTCCGGAAATCACTGTTCAAAAACTATTAAAGCCATGTCCCTAAAGAGTGGTAGTAGGTAAATATACAAGCAAGAATAAAAGGAAAAGAAAAGACAGAAAAAATCATCGACATTTAGCTATATTATAAGTAGGATCAACATTTCGTCGCAACACTAATCCAAGGCAATCTTTTAATAGCTTGGCTTCTAGATTCCGCGCTGTTTTTCCGGATTCCAGGCACTGGATTCCGGATTCCTTGACGGTGGAACTTGGATTCCTTTTCCAATCGTTCGTGTGATTCCGGATTGAGACTTTAACGCAGTGAGCACAAAATGAGAAAGCACCCAAACAACTTCACGCGCCGACTTTAATTGTACACTACTTTGCAATACAATTTTGTTGTACAAGGCATTAACCTAAGTGAGAACTGCCAAACTCATCTGGTTTGTTACAGCAACTGGCTTGTTGTAAAACTTCCGAAAAGTGGACTCCTCAGTCCAACCAGCTGTAGCTAGAATCACATTAGTGGAAACTGACATAAGAGCTTTACTCGTTGAAGCACACCTAGTGCTATGACCAGAAAGTATTTCTCTATCAACCCCCGCTTGTCCCAATAACGTTTTGATCCAGCGTCCAATAGTAGACGAGGTTACTGCCTTATAGGGCTTAATGTACGAAACAAGCAATTTTGAAGAATTCCTAAGCTTTTCGGTAGCCTGTAGGTAATAATCTAATGTTTCATAAACACACAGTTCCCTTACTGGATACTTGTGAAGGCGTACATTGCCAAACACTTTGCCAGGTTTATCCTGCTTAAGGTGTTCAGTTAAGGCAAAATTAAAACATGTATCATTCTTCTGCATATATTGCTCTGATGTGTCCAAAAAGGTCAAAGTCTGACACCTCTGCCCTGTAGTCAAGGCAATCAACATGACTAATTTCAGGGTGAGTTCCTTCAAATTGATCTCGTGCAGAGGCCAAAATAAACTCAAGAAATCAAGGACAGTATCCACGGACCAGATATTGTTATACTTCGGCACAGGCTTGAGCTTGTTGAAGACCCCTTTAAGGTAACGGCAAACAAGGAAATGCTTCCCTACAGGTGTGTGAGACGGAGCATCACTATCACTCATGTCAATGACCGAGCTGTATTCAACGCAGAATAGCTCAAGCCACTCTTGAAAAGACTGTGCAGAAAAAAGAGTACAGCCGTTACAGTGGGATGTAACGGATCATTCTTTCTTTCACTGCAAAATTGCAGCCACTTGTTGATATACACTTTATATTGTTTCTGAGTGCTGTCTCTCCATGAATGCATGATGATGTCGACAATGTGTGGCGAAATCTCAGACTCTTGCAAGGATCGCCTGATAACTTGCATACCATCAACTGCAGTAGTTGGTGTAGGGGATGAGGACCGTCCAGGGTTTGATGGACCAGATTCTGAACTGAAGCATTGAATACACGTGGCGTTTCTGTTAGTAGGCTCAGTACAGCTGTAAAATAAGGCTGAGTTGTCCACAAGGGAATTACCTACTAGAATTCCTGATGCCTGGTCGTGAATTATTTTCTGTACACACCTTGAAACAAGACAGAATGGTGGATAAGCGTAGAAGAAAAATTGTGACCATTCCATGGTAAAGGCATCTACAAACTTTGCCATTGGATGTGGTTTCCAGGAAATGTAATCCTCCACCTGAGCATTAAGTCTACTAGCAAAAAGATCTATATCTGGTTTGCCAAATAAAGCTACTATCCTCTGAAAAATCTGAGCGGAAAGCATCCATTCCAGATCCAAATTCAAATTCCGAGATAACTGATCAGCATCAATATTGCTTGATCCTAGATTATGGGCTGCTGATAACCAAATATCTTTGTCAATAGCCCAGTCGCAAATATCCTTAGCAATGGAGTTACATTCTAAAGATCTACAACCTCCCATAGAATTAATGTAAGACACAGCAGTGTTGTTATCAGACATAACCCGCACATGGATGTTGTTCCTGGTATCAAGTAGGGAGGACAGAGCAAGTTTAGCTGCTAATAATTCCACGTAATTTATGTGCCTGGATGACTCTGACTTAGACCAGATGCCACTAGTGTTATTCCCATGTTTGATTCGAGCACCCCAACCCATTTGGGATGCATCAGTGTGAACAACTACATCAGGACTATTATGAAAAATTCTTCTTGGTGCTGTTAGAATATTTGCAGACCACCAGTGAATCTCTTCCAAACTGTCATGAGACAAGGTCATAAATGAATCAAAATTCCCCTGGTTCAATTTCAAATTTGCTTTTTTGTCAACCTCAATGTGGCGTTAATGTAAAGGGCCAAACTCCACGCCTGGAAAGCTGGAGACTAAGGTCCCAAGAAAAGATGCAACTTCACGAATAGTAAACTGTTTATTTGGAAGAGAGAACTTTTGGCACAACTGCAAAATTTTAACTGCTTTCTTGTTGGACAAAGTAACTGACATGAGAAAAGAGTTCAAAATGAACCCTAAAAACTCTAAGATCTGTGTTGGTATAATAACTGACTTTTCTGGATGGATTTTAAAACCCAGACTGACAAAAAGTTGTATAGCACGTAATGTGGCTTCTTCACAGTCTGTATAACTATCTTCCAGTTAGAAAGAGTGATCAATATAGCCCTGCAGACAGGTGTGGCCAAACTGACTCCTCAAGTAGCTAAAGACTGGTTTTAAAACTTTCCTAAAAATCCTAGGGCTACTAGTCAATCCCATAGGCAGGCTAGTGAAAGCATATAATTGATCCCTCCAAATAGATTTTAAATATTTCTGATGTTCTTCTGCAATAGGGATAGAGTAATACGCATCCTTTAGATCTATAGATGTCATGTAACATCCAGTCCTCATGAGTCTAATTGCTGTTTCTAACGTGTCCATCTTAAAATGATGGCATGTCAATGACTCATTTAGTTTCTTTAGGTTAAATATAACCCAGTGAGACCCATCTTTCTTAGGCCTTGTAAAAATTGGAGATATGACCTGGCCATCCGCATGCGATGATAGCCTTATTATCCCTTTAAGAAGGAATTTTTCTACTTCATTGTCAGTGATAGTCTCCTCAATTTCAGTAAAGGAACAAAAAGGCCTAGTAACACTAGTACATATTCCAGGTTCTCAGTTAAATTCAATATGACAGTGAGTAACTGCATCCAAGATAAAAGGATCGGATGTGATAGTCTTCCATACATGAAGACAGTCTCCCGGCCCTCCTGCCTTAAAAGGAATTTGATTTGCAATAATAGTAGCAAGAGTTGTCTGACTTACCTCAGCCGATGATCCTACTGGGTCTTGGTTGCCGAGGTCCTGGGATTCTGCTGGGGCCGAGCATGGCCCCGGCCTTGACCTAAAAAAGAATTAGAGGAGGCTCTTCCCCTGCCAGCACTCTGACTGAAGCGGCCACGACCACGTACACCTCTAGAGGCAGGGACTTTGTAAGGTTCCATGCGTCTCTTAGGAGTCACTTTATTGCTGAGCTTTTGTGGCTTAGTTAACTCTTCCACTTCCTTGTTTAGGTCATCTCCAAACAAGAATGTTGACACAGCTATAGATGGGTTGCATAAAAGAGCATATTGCTTGTTCAGGTCAGGACGAATGAGATCTCTTCGTTTCAGGCTGCCGTATGGGTCAAAACATTCCTCTGATCTCCATTTGCACCATTACACAGCTGAAGTACAGCATATAAACCTGACAAAAGCAAGGACTGTGCCTTCTGGAAAGCTGAATCATTGTTTCTGGTCTCCTGTCGTAATTGTTGCCAAATTTGCTTGTTTATCTTGGGTGCAACCAAATTAGTGCAGTTTTCAGGTCTGATGTACTTGTTCTGTACCTCGGTCAACTTTTCTTTTGTGAGCTTCTCTGTAAGCAGACTCTTTACTATTTCTGCCAAATTGGCATCTATGGCAGGTGAAGTTTTCTCTAGAACACTAAATTCATCAGCAAGTGATTTAAAGGAACCGCCATCCGAGCCTTCAGCATGGTCTGAGGTTTTTGGCTGGATAAAATCGTTTATTTTAGTTGCAACAGCCGTTGCAACAGCTGTATCCGAACACTCAGTGCTCGCTTCACCACTCTCAGGGCTGGTCTCATAATCTTCAAAATCGGCATAAACCTTCTCGATAGAGTCTTGTATGTGGGCCAAAATATCTCGTTTGGCATCATCTAAAAGTTCGGCAAACATCGCCTTGAGGTCCACAGGCGAAGTACCTCCAGAATTTGCAATTTTCTGAGACTCCTCAGACATCGTCTGAAGAAATTAAGATGGATAAAGAAAGCGTCAAGCTTATTGCACTACAAAATGGCGGACTCGTCCGCCACGTGGTATCAAAAAATCGGTCCAAATAACCGGCTATATAGCTAGTCACAAACTCGTTGAGACTCGTAAAGATACGAGGAAAGGGTATAAACGCGTTACACCACAATTGTTTAAACTCTGGACACGTCCAGGAGTCTTCTCATAAAATTATAATTCGGCACAAGAGCCGAGTCCGCCTGTGACGCGTCACAGAGCACGAAAAAGGAAAAAATCCAGACAATAACGGCTGGAAAATGTAATGTGGAGCGCGTCCACAGTAAAAGAAAAATTAACGAAAAAGTAACTGTTAACTTACCGTGATAAGCAGCTGCCAAAGGCGGAGAAATATCGGAGAAAAATAAACACGACTAAATCCACGGCGAACGATACCGGCACTGCGGCGGTGCGTGCGCATCTCATAGTAACCCGGATGTATGTAATGATTTGGTAGAATTTCACTTTCAGTTTTCCCGAAAGTTCCTTGATTAGTGAACGCCATAGCAGTAGAGCTTCAGAGATTTGATGACATCGCACTTTACTTTCGGTACTTCTCTAATAATTTGACCACGACTCGATTACAGACGGCAGGACGGCCGACGGAAAGTTGTTTTAAAAACGTAAGTACTACAATTTGAAGCGAAAATTTACTCTGAATTATGTTTCTGCTCAAGTGTTTACATGTCCATTCCAACGAGATCAAGCGGTATTATGAATTTAGCAGTTTCAGTACAGTCTGATTGAGATTACCTTAGGGGGTGCTTCAGTTATTGACCGTTTTGAGCTAGTACTTCTTTTCTTTTGAACTATGCCAACAAGTAAGAACACTTGTTCAAGAAAGTACCTTCTATTCCTCAGACTCGAAGGAAGCCAAGTCAGCCAGCCGAAACAAGGCCATATTTAATAGCTTCACTTTAAATGTAAACACCTAAGTACGATGATTTGAGATGAAAATTTACTCGATCAACTTAGATGCCATAAATTTCGCAATAGACCTTGTCACGGTTTTCGACGCGTGATGTGTGAGAAATTACAGTGTTTGTATGAGAATCTAATGACAAATAATTTCCACAAAACGGCTGTTCTGAAAAAATTATCAATTGTAAACTAAAGCTACAGAGCAAAGGATTGTCCTAAACAATTTTGGGGGCGTACCTGTGCTTAAATTTCTCTAGAGGCTTTCTTTAGATTTTCCATATATTTCTCTGTAATTTTACCGGGACTTTCTTGCAGACAAATGTGTAGAAAATTTAAAAAAGTGATTCTAGGTCTTCTAGTGCATATAACGCCCTTAATTTTTTTTCAGTAGAATCCTTAGGAGCGAAGCTTTAGTTTACAAATCATATTTTTTTCAGAAGAGCCGTTTTACGGAAATTATTCGACATTAGATTCTCATACAAACACTGTAATTTCTCACGCGTTTGCCTTCTCGTCAAGATGGCGTCGAAAACCGTGACAAGGTCTATTTCAGGCGCCGGACTTCCGCTTTTTGATTGAGAAAACCGTGGATCGTTGTTCAATCTGTGATTTACCGTTTTCCTTTATAGGGCTGTGACACTAAATTGCCTTTGTATCAATTGAATTCCAAAAATAATAGCTCAATTCTATTTTTGAAAACTATATTTAGGCATAATTGAGACTGTTTCTTGTTATCTGTTGATGCAGATAGTGTGGTAAAAATTGGGCCAACTCATATGAGTAAAGGCACTAAATGCTTAAGCACATAATTGACCTAAAATAGCAATATCTTCGTGAAGTAGCCCCTTCTAATAATAATAATAACAAATCCATATTTCAACACGGGAAAACTCATCAGGAATTACATAGTCAAGGCTGTAAAAAAGTTTTTAAGTAACGGGCTGATAATGTATACAACGGCTTTGGAACTCGCAACAAAGGCAAAAGCTCTTGAGGGCCAAGGCATCTAGGGACATTTTGAAATTAAAAGTCTCGGAAATGGCGTTTCCAGGGGTTTTCAAGATGTATTTTCTACCACGGACGCCATGTCAATCCACAGCATTCCGGGATTCCGGTTCTCTGATTACCTTACATTGGACGAGTCATGTTTGATGCAAAACCGGCTGGATAATAGCAATTTTATCTCGTCCGTCAGCAATCCTTCGCTTCTTTGTTTACTAATTTCCTTTGTTCTTGTTGTTGATTTGTTTGGAGATCATGTATATTTTTCAAGTCCACATAGCCAATCATGTGATGTTAGGAACAAGGCCCTCCCTGTCTTCATTCTAGATAGAGGGAGGTGTGACTGGGGAAATTTGCCGATATCGTCAGTATCCATAATCAGAGACGTGCTGTTTGAAGGACTCATCTCTGAAATAAAATTCTCATTTTTAACGTGACAAAATTAAACAGCCCTAAAAGCACGTTGTTTTTTTGTTTTTCCTTTTTCTCTTTTTCGCGCGTATACCTTTTGAACACCCATTCAAGAAAGTACCCTCCTCCCCTAAACTCAGTCAGAGGAAGTCAAGTCAGTCAGCCGTAGCAAGGTAGCATACTTAATTTCACTTTCAGTTTTCCCGGAAGTTCCTTGATTAGTGAACGCCATAGCAGTACAGGTTCAGAGATTTGATGACATCGCACTTTACTTTCGGTACTTCTCTAATCATCTGACCACGACTCGATTACAGACGGCAGGACGGCCGACGGAAAGTTGTTTTAAAAACGTAAGTACGACAATTTGAAGCGAAAATTTACTCTGAATTATATTTCTGATCAATTGTTTACATGTCCATTCCAACGAGATCAAGCGGTATTATGAATTTAGCAGTTTCAGTACAGTCTGATTGAGATTACCTTAGGGGGTGCTTCAGTTATTGACCGTTTTGAGCTAGTACTTCTTTTCTTTTGAACTATGCCAACAAGTAAGAACACTTGTTCAAGAAAGTACCTTCTATTCCTCAGACTCGGAGGAAGCCAAGTCAGCCAGCCGAAACAATGCCATATTTAATAGCTTCACTTTCAATTCCGCTTAAAATTCTTTGATAAGTCAACGCTATTTGGCAAGTTTGATCGCACATTCCAATTTACTTTGTGCACCCGTCGAACGCCTCTAAAAGATAGCAGGACGGAAGAGTTTTGTAAAATAGTAAGTCCGCCTATTTGAAGCGAAATTTTAGTTATGTCTGTGGAGTAAATTTACTGCAAATTTTTGCACTTGGCGGTTCCACCCAGTATTTCAGATCAAATGTTTAGATGGTATGATCACATCGCAGATTACTTTTCGGCACTTCGGTCTAATATCGACTAACACATCAGAGTGCAGGACAAAAAAATGTAAACACCTAAGTACGATGATTTGAGATGAAAATTTACTCGATCAATTTAGATCCCATAAAGTTCGCAATTTCAGGCGCCGGACTGCCGCTTTTTGATTGAGAAACCCGTGGATCAAGTTTCAATCTATGATTTACCGTTTTCTTTATGGGGCTGTGACACTAAATTGCCTTTGTATCAATTGAATTCCAAAAATAATAGCTCAGTTTTATTTTTGAAAACTATATTTAGGCATAATTGAGACTGTTTCTTGTTATCTGTTGATGCAGATAGTGTGGTAAAAATTGGGCCAACTCATATGAGTAAAGGCACTAAATGCTTAAGCACATATAGTTGACCTAAAATAGCAATATCTTCGTGAAGTAGCCCCTTCTAATAATAATAATAATAATAATAACAAATCCATATTTCAACACGGTAAAACTCATCAGGAATTACATAGTCGAGGCTGTAAAAAAGTTTTTAAGTAACGGGCTGATAATGTATACAGCGGCTTTGGAACTCACAACAAAGGCAAAAGCTCTTGAGGGCCAAGGCATCTAGGGACATTTTGAAATTAAAAGTCTCGGAAATGGCGTTTCCAGGGGTTTTCAAGATGTATTTTCCACTTCGGACGCCATGTTGTTTCGTCAGAATGATGCCGTCGAAATGTCCCGGGCGATCCACGACATCGCACGTTTCGAGCGTTTCACGGATCTAAACCTGTTTAAATATGCGTTCAATGTGATTTAGAACTGGGAAACGGATGCTTTATAATTTTATTCGATTTTGCTTATTTTTTGTTAGCAATAGGTAGAAGGAGATGAAAGTAGCTTGCGGTTTTGGCCGGCTACCGGCCCTTAGTGACAGCCCTGCATATTTAAAATCCAGAGGCAAGCAGTAAAAAGAGTTACAATTATATTTACACAAGTGAAACACACATTCTTATAAGAGATTAAAATAAAATGACTGAATAACTTCCCTTTCAAGAGTGCCGTGCATTGAAAGTAATAGGCGCTATTTAAAGTAACGTTTACAGCCAGCTTGCCGTAACTCTATTGAAGACTCTTCCAGAGCACCGCCTCATCATAGCTGAAGCGCCTCTTTCGGAATTCACTACCAGGGAACGGAACGGAAAGTTTGCACTCTTTGTCTCTTTATGAATAGGTTGATACGCTGCAACGGTCTACAAATTTAGAACAGAGATAATCTGGGGCAAGACCGTTAAGTGATTAATAGGCCATATCTTTTTGAACCTCTCGTTGGCAATCCAGGTTTTTGAAGCCAAGAAGCTCAAAACGATGATCACTACTTGTATCATAATTCGAAAAAGGTAAAGCCCGTGCCGCCCGATTTTGTAGTTTTTGTAATTTGGCACCAAGGATATTACCACAAATACCCCAAACCACACTGCAGGATACTGAGAAGGGCGAAAGGTCGCATACGTTTTAGGGTTCCAACACCAGAGGCAATTTTAGTTGATAACTTTTCAAAATGTTCATTCCAAAACAGATTTTTGTCAATTAGCAGTCCAAGAGATTTCGTACAATCTCTTGTTTTATTGCAGCACCATTAATTGATAAAGATGAGGCAGTCGCGAGAATCTTTAACCTTTGCCTAGAATACATCAACATAATTAACTTTGTCTAGGATGTATTCAGAGTCAGCTCGTTAGCAATGAACCAATCACTGATAATATATAGATTTAGCCAGGGCTAAAAGCGGTGCAGTGCCTGTGGTGCGGACGGACGGACGGTCGATCGCTCACTCGGTGTAGGTAGAGTTACTTACCTATGGTGCTCCGGTGGCGCGCGCTTCGCGCCCGCCAGAGCTCCGCTATTAATGTAATCTTGATTTAGATAAAAGTTAATATAATCGAATCAGAAAGCAAAGTTTAGATAAGTGTCACCTGCATACACACGACGCTGACAATAGGCGAATCTTTGCTGACATCATTGCTTACTTTTTTCCTCATTAGCATATGACTTAACTCATAGAAGCCGAGGCCGTATATATGAACTAAATGCAAAAACTGAAAGAGCTGATTAAGTTGAGCAATTGTGCAATTTTCAGCTCTTTGCAAGCAATATTGAAGGAAATATCAGCCATCAAAAACTGCGAAATGGGCCAATTTTGCCTCCACTACTCAACCGGTACACACAAGGCAACAATGTTCATATATGGGCGCGTGGGCCAGCCAAGCCACCGTGCCGTTTATTTAACATATATGCAGATATGTACAAATATCAAGTATTACCTATAAACGAAAGAACAGAAGCACCAAAGCCGGACACGAAAACCCCCCCAAAAAACCAGCAGGTGGAAAAAACACGGGGAACGTGTATCCCCGACCAAGGCAGTGGTGCAACCCTTGGGGTTTTAGGGTATGCTAGTGCCTAAACTATAATAAACATCAATAAAGACACAAATAAAATAAAATAAAAAAGAGAGAGAAAAGCAACCTAACACGGTGAAGGCTGACCGTAGCTATAGAATGCCTCACCTTCATAACGACCACGAATTACAAACTCGAATCCCATGACTCACTGCGCACTAACACCCTCCCCAGACCTCTGATACGTGCCGGCAAAATAGTAATTTATGATAATACGGTGTAATCACAAATTACATTTTGCACGATGATATCATTTAATACTACGACCAGAATCCTTCAGGGTTTGCTTTCTTGTGCAAATTACGGCTTTTGTCATTTAAATCTCGCTGGGATTACCAAACTGAAATATGAAAAGAAAAACGAAAAGGATTCTGGTCGTAGTAGTAAAATGACGCCATCGTGCAAATGGCCCATTGCTGGGTGGCAAAAAAGTTAATGAGCCATACGTTCTCTGTAAAATTTCGAGTTTTTAGAAGAGAATTTCTCCGAAACCATTCGATGTATTGGACTGAGATAACTGATACTGTTATGCCCTTTCAATATTCAGAGTTTTTTTTTAATTAGCGTCATCAGATAGTGATAAGTATATGTAAATGAGGCAAAAAGTGTAAACAAAGATTCGCCCATAGGAAAGACAGGGAGGTCGTTGGTATATAAAAAAGAACCAGCAGAGGCCCCGGGATTGGTACCTGAGGACTACCGCCGGACAGCAAACAGTTGTCAGACAAATGACCATTCACGAAGAATCTTTGATTGCGATCACTCAGATAGGACTTGAGCCAAACATTGGTCATATAATTTTGATAAAAGGATGTCATGGTTTACCGTATCAAATGCCTTTTAACTCAACCATTTAAACTTTAGTATGTTGTCAATAAATTGAACCCAGGCTTCTTCCAGGTGTTCCTTGTGACTTCTGGGGAGGGGAAAGGTAAAACTAGCAAGATGTGGACGTCTTTTATGTATGGCTCACATCGATGTGATGTGTCTATTTATCTTCTAGTTCGCCGTGTGAATTTCGAAAGAACACTAGATAAGAGAGTCAACTATTGTAGCTCCAAGGACATTAGTTCGTCCTAAACAAGCACACTCGCTACATCTTTATATATCCATATAAAGCGGAACAAGCACACTATACATGTAGTATACCTCGTTCTTTAATTCATAAATCTCAAATTAGCCAGTCAAAAAACACTGTTTAAGTTCACAGTCAACGACTTTGGGACTGCGGTCTGGGGTAGCGGTACATTAAACTCTGGATTTACGCACTCTCCTGGCGAGACAGGTGCAAGGAGAGACGACTGTTTTCTCAGATTAATCTTTTAGCGAAAGTGCGCCGTGTAAATTTTGGATTTTAGAGAACTGGAACATTTTTGATCCCAGCTTTTTTGCAAGAGAAGCTTTTGGCGCTAAATTGGTCTTGGGAAAATATTTATGATAAATAACTACACTCAGCTCACATAATTATGTCAGATTATTACGTGACAAAGGGAGCGTATAAAATATTGATGAAACAAAATTAATAATAACAAAATAAAAAGAAACTCTAAGAGTAATGAGCACCTTTCATCCAAACAGTTTCCTGGAGTATTTGGGACCTCAAGTCTAAATGAAGTTTGCTCTTAAAATCAGTAGCAACATTTTACTCTCAGGAGAAAATAGTTTATGAGAAGGACTCACTCTCTACCCTAGATGCCAGAGATGTTCTCGCTAGATAGCGGCAAGAAGCGTTAACAGTACGCTTTTCTTGATTTCCCTAACAGTGACTCACTTAATACTTTGGAAAATCCATGACTGAATTTTTGTCCTGTCTCAAAAGTGACCATAACAAAATTCTTTAGAACCAAAGGATGTTTTTGTAACAGGAAGATGTCCATTATAATGATAAAGGAGTACTTTGAGAGTACAAGAGAACCTCACTTTGTGGACACCCACTCATGATGGTCATTTTTTCCCCCAGAAAAAACTTCAAACGTTTCCACTTACATTGACCTGCTTTTTTCAAAGACCAAATAAAAATGCTGATTGTATTACAAGGTTGCCTTGACTTTTCAGACACAATTGTGTTATTGAATAGTTCACTGTACACCTCCTAGTAAGAGACAGAGAGTCACGGCCATGACTATTGTTTTGAGATCCTGTTTTTAAAATTGGGACACCAGATCGACTGTTTAAATGTAGGTACTTTGTTACCAGTGACAGTACACACTCTACAGTACTTAGTGAAAATATACAGTAAATAAACCGGGTCAGGCAATAAAAATAACATATGACACAATATGTAGATAACAAAATTGAAACATAGCCGCCCAATAATATATAGATTTAGCCAGGGCTAAAAGCAACGCTCTCATCACTATACTTATAATTTACCCACACAAAAATAAAATTGTGCAATTCTAAAAGACGAAAGCATTAAGAGCGACAAAAAACAACAACAAAAATAGGTCTATTTAGCCCCGACAGAAACCGATATGTACTTGGAAACTTTAGAGTAACGTAGCTTAAGGTGACTCGACCCAGTTTTTTGGAGGGGTACCATCCTACTTTGAAGCTCTCTGGTATCCCCACCTTTACTTTTATCGTAAGGCTAACACATAGAATGGGTAACATATAGATCAATCTACAATATAACATAAAATTTTTGGCGATCGGAGTAAAAGTCACGTGGTTATAATGCCACGCCCCTTTGAGGTCTAAGTCGAAAATCTGCTGTTGCCGTCATTTTTTCGTGAAAATCTCTCGGCTACACATAGTGCGCATTAGTGCCTTGCTCTGAACAGAGTTTTACCAAAATCGCAAAGACCCAATTCGAGAAATTCAGCGGTTTCCAAATTTAAGTCATAATTTATCCGAAAATGATAAGCAAACTTTTCACGATTATATCTAATAAACTATGAGACTTATCCCTTTATTTTGGGCATCGTTATAACAGATGGGTCCTTGCAAGTCAGCAAAAAGCTTTAGGGTCATGTAAATGCGCGCGATTTCGAGCAAAGCGAACATCTAGAAATTATAGTTTTCGCTATTTGTTAACGTTTGTCAGCGTTTAAGAGTCCTTCTCATGAAAAAAGCATTTTCTTAAAAATTCGTGGTTTTTTTCAGGGCCACAATTGATTAACTAACTACCCGGACTCTGAATTTCATGTTCATTGAAAAACTTTGAGATTATCTTCTATAAGCCCAAACTTGAGTAAACATTGAAGGTTTTTTGCGTTTTGTCTGAGTTTGTGCTTTGGGAGTTGTCTATTGTTTCTAGTCTGTCATTATACAGCATTCTTGTTCAGCACGCGTGCAATGACCGCGCTTGGCTGACTTCCGAATGCTCACCGAGATATGATAATTTTGGTACAGTGAGACAGGCCATCGCGTGATACATAGAGGTTTAACTCACAATTTTTAATCAATTCTCGTGCTTCTTGTGCCTTTGCAAAAAAATCAAGAAGTGCCCCACACTAAATCTACTTGCTATTAAAAAAATATCATTTTTTCATAAGTTTAATGCAAGCCAATAATTAAACCAACTCGTGACGGGAATCCCTTCTATTTTCTCATACTAAATTATCATATCTCGGTGAGCATTCGGAAGTCGGCCAAGCGTGGTCATTGCACGCGTGCTGAACAAGAATGCTGTATAGTGACAGACTAGAAACAATAGACAACTCCCAAAGCACAAACGCAGCCAAACAAGAATGTTGACACAGCTGTAGATGGGTTGCACAAAGGAGCATATTGCTTGTTCAGGTCAGGACGAATGAGATATAATAGTTGTCCTGTTTCCTAATGTCCTTCGGTAAAATGTTCCAGATTCTAGGGGCGGCTACTTGAAAGTCCTGTCTCCAAGTGTCTTCTTTGACCGTGCACTATAATCCTCGAGTAACATCTCCCCCTCCGATCTAAGATTATATCTGGTGGTGCTCTTAACTTTTATTAGATGCTTAAGGTATTCGGGTGCGTTACCATAGATACACTTATGAGCAAGCATTGCTATCTTAAAATTTACCCTATACGTTACTGGAAGCCAATGTAAATTAACAAGTGTAAGAGTAATGTGATCATACTTTGCAACGTTACTGACAAGGCGAGCCGCCGCATTTTGTAAACGCTGTAATTTACTTAGCTGGGTGGATGGAACACCAACCAAGAGGCTATTACAATAATCTATACGTGACATTATAACTACTTGAACTATTGACTTCCTGTCATCATAAATCAAATACCTGCCAATTACCGTAGTTTTCGTAATTTTCGCTGTCTCGTCAAGGGTCTCCCTTGACCTCATTTGCATTTTCTCATAACTTTAATTTTTGTCAAGGGCCCTGAAAAATTTAGAGATTTTAGTTAATTTCGGAATTTTCGTAGCACTCGTGCAAAATTTTGTTTTTTTAGTACATTTCGTCACTGAGTTCCATCATGGACATATCTCCACGCAGACATTCTTAGGGCTTTAATCACTACGAGGGTAGTATCGACATCTTCCTTTTTTAAGAACGATGATTTTTTCCGTCAGTGTGACTCAGGGAGGAAATAAAATCCGATTATTCCTAATAGCAGTCGAATCTACTACTTTCTGGTTACTCGTCCAGATATTCCACCATAATTGTTTCTTTTTTGTCCGTTTGTGTTTTTTGTTAATTGATCACGAGCATAGTTTGGAAATAAAATCGGGGCTTTCAATCAAAGTCACATTTTAGTGCCTTTCTACATTTAGAAAACGACAGTGATAAATTTACACCTTGGACCATTCCTTCGGGTGTATTCTCAACTTATATCCTCTTCATTTCGCTACACACTGTTTTGAATGGTAGATTACGTGCATAAAGCCCCATTTCTTAAATTAGTCCCGGTAATTATCAGGCGCATAACGTGGTTTTATGTCTGCAACGTTACGGTGCGACTACTACACTGTAACCGGGGCCACTTAGACAAAGTTGACCAATCGGATTACAGGAAAACTACACTACATTCCAAGAAAATTGGTTGTCAGCTAATCAGCAGCTCGTCAAAAAATCAGTAAGTTACTCGAAGCACAATATTAAATATTGATAGCAAATCTTTGTAAGGCAAGCAAAATGTTTCAGCAGACAATGTTTTTCTATCCGAAACTTTACATATAACAACCAGAAGACATAAGCCACAAGCTGTGATTTCATCATCTACCAGCAATTTCTTCGCTACCATTGCCACACTTTACAATACCACAAACTCAAGTCAAAAATTTAACTAACGTTTACGATTTTTGCCTCTGTCATGAATTCACTGAAAACGGATCTCTCAAGAAACACGGGTTTTCTTCAGCGGTTCAAAAGGTCACGTCTGTAGGTTGTAATTGGTTGATTTTGATCCATGTTGCTTATTTCGATTATAATTGACACCTTTCTCTCTTTCTCTCTTACTTTCCTGTAATCCTATTGGTCAACTTTGTCTAGGTGGCCCCGGTTATGGACGCACTGGAAGTTCAATATAAAAGTTCTTGTAGTTTTTAGACTAAAACGACAAAACTGGCCGCTCCAGTTGCAAAGTGGACTAGGTTGTGAGGTAGAACCCACGCTATAAATGGCCTGTACTGTTCTCTTATTTACATTTTAAAGCGTAGCTTCGAGGGGGGGTAAGTAGGTAGGACCTTTAATTGCTCAGGCTTCTCTCTTTTGTTTGTGATTGATGCATTGACCTTCTTCAATGCGAGGAAACGCGACGAGGTGGAACGAAATTGTTGCAATTGGAAAGCAGCTCGCTCGCGTGAGCCTAGGACTAGGCTGTGCTTTAACACAATAAATAAATAAATAAATAAATAAAAAAGAAAGTGGCACAATACCTCGGTCAGTTTTTCCCCCTCAACCTCTGACAGGAATTGCTAAGTAAAGTAGATACCTTATTTTTCTTTCGTACAATTTCTCTAGATCCCAATCAAAGATGGAGTACAGTTTGGAACAACTTAACTTTTTTAGAGCATGTCACATCTCCTTCAACTTAGTTCCCCAAGGGCTTCGAAAAGTCTTCAAGCAAGAGTGGGATTTTGTTTACAAGACAACCCCGTCTGGGGAATGGAAAGATATTTCACAAAATGGCCATGATTTCTACAGTAAAGAATCAGGAAAGAGTCGCACAAGGAATAAGCGACTTTTAGCGACAATACAAAGCGGAAACACGGCAGAGTGGGATTGCAGTTGCCTGGTTTTTGCTATTTTGAACTCGGATTGCATTGGCAGTACTCTTAGTCCAGCAGTCAGAAAAGAAGTAGACGATCTCAGACAAGTTCGAAATTATATCGCTCACTTGAACGAGGCTGAAATTACTGATACTGAATTCCAAAATTACGTAGCGAGAGTGTTAGCTGCTTTTAATGCCCTGAAGCTTCCAATTAAAGAAGTTAATGATGTCAAAAACCAGACAGACTTTCCAACAGCTGAAGTGAAAAGCTTGAAAATGCAGGCTGATAAACTGAAAGCGGACTTACAATTGACTCAAGAAACATTACAGTCAAAGCAGGAAGAAGTAGAAGCACTTACTCAGGAAATCAATTCCAAAGTCGAGTCTTTCCGTACTCTGACATTCAAGCCATCACATGAAATCATCGAACGATCACGTGATGTTACAAGAATCATGAAAAAACTGGAAGAGCTTTACAACGAAAGTAATAGAGCTATTAGCACCATTTATCTATCAGGAATTCCAGGCTGCGGAAAAAGCCAATTAGCTCGACAACTGGGAGAGCACATTTACAACAGGAAGTTGCAAGAAAACGACAGTCTTACGTTTGTTGCAACCCTAAATGCAGAAACCCTAGATTCACTTGCAGACTCCTATTCCAATCTCGCTAGACATTTGGGAATAACAGAATACACTCTGACCAGCCTCGAGACTTCTACAAAGGGGAAACCAAAAGAGAAAATCCAGTATCTGAAGCGAGTCATTTATCCAAAGACGAAGCATTTCTCCAGCTGGCTGATAATTGTAGATAATGTTGTTGACCTTTCATTGGTTTTGAGGGATCTACCTCCGACCGGTAGTGAGGAATGGGGCCATGGTCAGGTGCTAATAACTACTCAAGATAGCAGCTCAATCCCCTTTAATGCTCCACTTACTTACCATGAGTCTCTTAGCGATGGAATGCATCCCGATGACGCAGTGAACCTATTACGACAGGTATCTGATATTGAGGATCAGAACCAAACTGAAGAAGTCGCCAAAGTTCTTGAGTATCAGCCACTTGCTTTAGCAGCCGCTGCCTATTATGTAAAAACCATTGTGGTCACCGGTTCTCCGAACTACCTCTGGAAAGACTACTTGGATGCACTTTCCCACGGCAAACGTAAAGTGACAGAAGAACTTCTTGCCAAAGAGAACATAGCGTATTCCAAAACAACAACTACTGCCATTCAAATGGCAATTATGAGAGCTTTAGAAGGTGATGAAGTTCTTCGAGAAGTATTGTATTTGTTTTCTCTTTGCGCATCTGAGTCTCTTCCGATGGAAGTTGCTGTTGACTTCGTTAAATCACGTATCACGGGACAATCAGAAGAATTGATCAAAACTAAACTTTTTAAAGCTTCCTTATTGTCTTGTCTGCTAGACAAAGACGGCGCAGATCCTTTTTTAAGGATGCACAACATCTCTCATGAAGTGCTCAAGTCAGTTATAACATCTAAAATTGATTCAACAGATAGAATTCAATGCATTTCTATTGTTATTAAGATCTTTAACCGTTTAATGGCAAAAAAAAACAGGGATCTGTTACATTCAAGTGGACAAGTGTTTGCGAAATTACGTTTAATTGCGAGTCACTGTAAAGAACTTCGTGTAATTATTAATACCGATTTTACTAAATCAAAAATGTTTCTGGAATCAATCACCCCTAGAGAGTTAGTTTTGTGGCTTTCCTCAAGCGCTGATGTTTGCTGTAGCCTTAGTAATCTGTCGGATGCGGATCTTTTTAATTCCTCAATCCGTAATTTTATGCATTTTCTTAACGATTCCGAAGAAGACAAATCATTAAGAGCGGACACCTACAGCATACAAGGAAATGTTTACCGTGACCTTTGCCAATACTCTGAAGCTGAAAATCACCACAAGAAGGCCCTCGTCATTAGAAAAGAGATTTACGATGAATACCATCGTGATGTAGCAGCAAGCTACAATAACCTGGGAATGGTTTACAGGAAACGTGACCAGTACAGTGAAGCTAAAGAAAACCATGAAAAGGCTCTCGTCATTAGAAAAAAGATTTACGGTGAACGCCATTGTGAGGTAGCAACAAGCTACAGCAACCTGGGAACTATCTACTGTGACCTTGGCCAGTACAGTGAGGCTAAAGAATACGGTGAGAAGGCTCTGAACATTAGAATAGAGAGTTACGGTGAACACCATTGTGACGTAGCAGAAAGCTACAGTAACCTGGGAAATGTTTACCTTGGCCTTCACTCCTACCCTAAAGCTAAAGAAAACTATGAGAAGGCTCTCAACATTAGAAGAGAGATTTACGGTGAACACCATAGTGATGTAGCAGCAAGCTACAATAACCTGGGAATTGCTTACGAGAAACGTCACCAGCATAGTGAAGCTATACAAAACCATAAGAACGCTCTCGTCATTAGAAAAGAGATTTACGGTGAACACCATTGTGACGTAGCACAAAGCTACAATAACCTGGGAAATGTTTACGTTGACCTTGGCCAGTACAGTGAAGCTAAAGAAAACTATGAGAAGGCTCTCATCATTAGAAAAAAGATTTACGGTGAACCCCATGGTGAGGTAGCAACATGCTACAATAATCTCGGATGTGTTTACTTAAACCTTAGCCAGTACAGTGAAGCTAAAGAATACTATGAGAAGGCTCTGATCATGACAAAAGAAATTTACGGTGATCAACATCCTTGGATTGAGTTAGTTTTGGGCAACTTAAAGGATGTTGAACAGAAAATAAGAAAAAGAAAACTCGAACAGTAAACGTTGCATTATTATCTAAGAAAAACAGGAAGAAGTAGAAAGTTTATTTCCGTTGTTATTTCAGTGATATATGAATGGGAACTCATTGAATAATGTGAGGAAGCTCGGCACACTCTTTTCTGTTTTTTGACTTTTTTTTTTCCTAAGAGCTTTTTGTAAGAAATTTTAGCCTAAAATTCGCCAAAGTATTAACAACATGCTAAGAACATAGCTGAGCTCTGAAAAGAACAATTTCACTGCTTTTACATTCCTAAATCCAAAAAAAACTGAATTACATAATGTCCTACATGGAATCAGAGTGCATGTAAAATTTTGTTCTTTCAACACATTCCTATTGTGTGTGGTCAGTAATACATTTACATTGTACTTGTACAATACATTAATATGAAAACCGCTATAATCATTATCTTTAGCGATGTACTGAATGTTACAAAGAGCTTCTTGTTATCAGATCTATATGTTGCTTAAAATTTATTAGATTTCGAAATTTAAGAGCACCCGTAAGAACATTTCCAGGCTGAAGCTACCCAGAAAATAAGAACGGTCCAGGCTCAACTCGAAAAATGGACGTTCTTAAAAAAAAGGAAGAGTGTAATCGAGTTGTTGGACTTCGGTGAGCAGTTTGGAAACATTAACTTCGCGATTATTTTAACTTTATATTATAACTCTTGGCATACGTTTTTGTACTGTGCTCTAACAAATCACGTGAAATTTGGAAAGACATCCATAAGATGCTAAAACCTAGTCCCAAGCCTTAACGCTTTGATCCTGACGAACTAACCGTGCATTTCTTGTCGACCGCATAGGGAACTCTCGATGTAACTGCAACATCCTACGTCGAGCTGGGTGATTTGATTGTCAGAGTCTCCCTGAAGATTCAACTGACCGTGCCCGCTTCCGTAGTCTATCTTTGGTTACTCGGGAGGAGGTACTCAAGACCCTTAAGACCCTGTGATCTGATTCTTCTAGGGGTCCTGACCAAATCCCGATTAAATTTGTCAAACTAGTGGCTGAGTATCTGGCAGAACCTCTGACTATAATTATATGGTGGTATAAATAAAGCATACTTTCCGAAGTTATGGAAGATGGTGCCTTTCTGCTTCACGATAAAATTTCCAGTTTCCACAAAGGACGTTCGACCACAACTGCCCTCTTAGGTATAAGAGACGTTATATAGCGCGTCATGAAGAGGAAAGAGGTAACATTGTTAGTACTTGCTGATTTTTCTAAAGGACTATCTAAAATGGCTATTGACTCGGAGCTACTTATCTGGTCGGCTACAGTTTGTACAAATTGATGATGTCAAATCATGCCTTAAATCCTCTCAGTTTGGTATACCTCAAGGGTCTATCCTTGTACCAATGATCTACAACTTGTATGTGTTAGATCTACGAGATAACCTCGTGAAAAATTCTATGTTGTTAAAAAGATAAACATGTCACTACAAACTTCGATAAAATGGTAGCTTCGAAGGTTAAAATTCCTGGCTTCTTGCGTGACACAACTTGAAGTGAAAACAATGATCATCGGAGCGACAGAAACTATTAGGTTTTTGCTAGATAGCTGATGTTAGAGAACCGGACAGAATCTTTTGCCATTGTACAAACTTTTCATCTCGTGATTATTTTAAGTTCATTTAGATCAGTTCAACATGTTTTAAACTTAGCCTGCTTCAGCGAGCGAGATACTTATCATTCAAAATGGCCCGCGTAGATATATCAGACGTAAATAAAGGGTGCGTTCGATTGGGAAAACCGAATTTAGATTTTCAAAATCTTCCCAATCGAACGCGAAATCCGAAAACGGATTTCACCGAGAAATCTGTCCTCAGGATGGATTTCAATTAAGAAATCAAAATCCGGATTTCATGGATTTCCTTTTTACCGTTCGATTGGGAAATCCGAAAAAGGATTTGCAAAACTATTCTCGTGAACAGTGGTCTTCTTTTTGCTAAGTATGCGTGCGCGTGCAAGACCGCTGTTCTTATGGACACTTTTTCAAATCCTTTTTCGGATTTCCCAATCGAACGGTAAAAATGAAAATCCAAAAACAGATATCTCAGCGTTGAAATCCGTTTTCGGATTTCGCGTTCGATTGCAAATCCAAAATCCAGATTTTAAAATCTAAATCCAGATTTCCCAATCGAACGCAACCAAAGCATCACAGTTGTAACAACCTGCCCTGATGCGCGGATAAAATTCTCCAAGCTTACTCTATCCCACAATATTTTTCGTGCATGTGAGAGGTTAAACTACAAATATGTAAATAGACTCAAACACGCGGGTAAACGTCTCACAGCACAAATGTTACCTGGTCTTTATTTGTGTGTTTCTACGAAGTTCCAGGTCGATTTGAACAGTATTAACCGAAAAAGGTGTTGCAGAACCATCAGCTCAGTGATAAAACCCGCTCAGAAAACAAACTAGGCTCTGTGAACTTAAGAATAGCTAAGGGGCTCCTGTCTTTCGATTTTAGTTGACAATACTCACATTCGTAGTAGTTTCTATTCTGTGTACAGTCAGCCTGATATTTCAGACGTCTCCTCGAGTCGCAAGAGGAGGTTGCGACTCGTGGAAACGGCTGACGTTCAAGCTAGTTTACAGTTTCCCGCCTGGTTGAGGATGGCGATCGCCGCTGTGATTTAATTTGGGCATCCCCTGTGACGTTGCATTTTTTCCACTCTGTGTGCTGAAACGCTGTCCCCGCCCCCCTATATTTCGAGCCCAAGCCTAATTTATCGAAGACAGGTAAGGGTTTGCTAATGCAACTTGTTATTTTTGAAAACACTATTTTTCAGTTAAATTGTGAAAACAGGTTTTTCCTTCACAAGGGGGTAAACTGACGGACGGGGAAAAACTCTAAAAACTCTCTGGGAAAGGCCTTTTCCTGGGGACACTCGCTGGCTGCGGGAAGGTACGGAATCTCTTACGCCTGCTGAATACCCTTGAGACAATGATTACAACAGAACTTGGCTCCAATGTAGAAGTTTAATCCAAGACTATACTGCGGGTAGAGTCAGGAACATAACCAACCAAAATGTATCCAAGACTAGATGGACCTGGATGTAACCGAAGAAGCTCCTACAAAAGCACTCGTATTTAAGCCTAAGCTAGCGAAGCGACACAGATTACATCACAACTCAACGAGTCAAATTACAGAGCACAACAATCATTTCTAAAAGACTATTGGTGGAAACCTAAGCTTGCTTTGAAACATTAATTACTTCCAAAAGCTACACAGGTGGATAACGGCTTCTTACAGGTTGATTACAGTTTGAAGACTAAATACAATTATGACTTGACAAATAAGTTAACGCTCAATAAATCAACAGGTTGTTTACGACTAAAAGAAGTTAAGACTAAAGAATAAATGACTCCTACATTGGCTTTTCATATTTTTACCAGCGAAAGCAAAATAACTGAATAACAATAAATTATCTCTTTACATTCCTCCCACCTTAAGTCTCAGCTGTCCTCAGCTGATTAGAGGGAAAAAACGATCAAAAATATACGAGAAAACTTAAGAAAAAATGCTCAGCGAATTAAAATTTTAAAACTTACGTTTATGTTGAAAGTTTATATTTGATTTTCTGGTTTTTGAAAATTGTTTATTTGTTTTTTGTGCCTGAACCGCGGCATAAACCGAACTAGCCTAAATATAGAGGCCTCGGGGGTTCAATGAAAATGAAAGCTGATCTATATAAAGATTAACGTACCTCAAAATATGCGCCTTTTGAGGGAAATTACTTACATGCATTTTTACTCAGCGAAGCTACTAAAAGGTTATTATACGCGTTCCAAACTCTCGTTTCTTAGCTTAAAACTCTCACACTTAAGGTTACCTGAAACTCTCATTTAGTACTTCTCAATTCTCGATTCTGTCTATTTTAACTCCGTATCATGTTTTTTATTATTCGAGCCTTCTCTCTGGCTTGGACGGACTTATGTTAATTGATTCTATATTACTCAACTGCGTATTCGTTATTCTATCTCATATCTCTTGGACTCTTAGAAATTTCACACTAACTATTTCCTCTTCTGAAGGTCGCTTTCTCTGTTAGTGGATGGCCATTGTCATTTACTGGTGAGATCGCTCGGTATTAAGTCGTCGGAAGGGTCATCCTTCAGCAGTGGAAAATTGTACTTGAACTTTGTGAAAGACAATGGTTGATGCCAATTATGGGTATGAGTTTCGGTTGTCAATCTGCCATCACTTTTAGGGAATGGAAACAATTCTTTCTCTGCAGACTGGAGGTAGTCGTGCATGTTGTGAAGCTTTTGAGGTGTTCGTTGCACTTGAGGTAAATTATGAGCTTGTGAAGCAAAACACAGGTGAAAGAGCACTAGTAGCATGAACCAGGAAATAAACTTCTCGAACATACATGGAATCTTGAGCTGCAATGCTGCTGACTTGCCTGTCTTCTGAAGCTTCACCGCGTTTTTCCTAATAGTGGGCGTCTTGCTGGACTGCGATGCTTGAGGCGGATACTTTTCTGTACAACTTGTTGCGACTTGTTGGTTGCGGATTCTTTCACCAGGCGTTTGACTAGAGGAAATAAGGGTATTCTGCTGGTACTTAGGTTTCTCTTGTTCCCGGGAATTCAAAACATTTGTGCAGTCGGGTGGCACATTGGGTATCTGGGAACTTGTTGGCCTGAAGCTGTTTGCTGCAACTGAGTTTAGGTGGCCCAATTTAAGTACTTCCTTTGGTTGGTCCAGGATAACTCCAACTTTTGTCGAGTTGTGGTTGACGTCATATGGTTCCTCTCCTGAATCTTGGCAACGAGGTTTGTCTCTGGCTGTGTATGCCGGTTGAAACGTAGGGGCTTGATGCGGGATTCGCTTAGGCTTGTGACGTACTTTATAATTATAGGACCCTTGTTGGCAACTACGATGAGGGCAGTTGATCTGAATGTGGCCAACCATTCCACAGTAAAAGCAAGTCCTTTTCCATGGTTGTACCTTACTGTGTCTTAAGTTTCCTCCCAAGCGTCGTTCCAAAATTGTAATCTTGTTCAACAGATTTCCTTCCAAATCCTTTATAACTTTAGTTAGCTGGTCCTTAAGTTCGTGCTGGTAATCATTATGAAGCTGAGAATGAGTTGCTCTTTTGGTTTTCGGCTCTGTTGAAACTATCTGCGCTCGTAGAGAGTGGTTACTACCTGGTTGTCCAGTATCAGGATTTGACTGTCTAATCTCAGGGCAAGGGAAACTTGATTGGTCACTCGGTATCGCTTTGGGAGCTACATGGTAGTTCTGTTCTAGCTTGGTAGTTCTGTCTGTTTCCTGATTGGTTAAGGGTTTCACCTGTTTACTGACTTGAGTCGTGACCATTTCTCTGACATTTTGAGCCGAAACTGAGTTGCTCGTCTTCTCCCCAGAGTGCATAGCGGTTGGGCTTTCTGTGGGAAGGTCTTCATGGCGAGATCGGCTGGAATCTCCTGTAACGTGGTTATCAGCGTTCAGGGTACTATAAGCAATGGCTGTTGACTTCTGCTTTACCTCTTTGGTCTGTGGTGGCTGAGCCATCCTAAGATCTACTTTATTGTAACCTGCTAACTCTGGTTTGGGATAGTTGGTTCCCACGAACTGAGTCAGATACATGCCAACGTTTCCTGGATATGGAGGCGGTGAGACATCAACTGGAGCTGGTGGGTAGGCCAAGTCTGATTTTGTAGTTTGATCAGGCCTTGTAAGGCACCTTAAAATTCCAGAGACAGCAGTGTCATCGTGCATGGTTATTGCGGGCAACAGCGGATAAGGAACTGGAGCTGGTAGATCAAACTCATCCCCTTTTTCAGTTTCGTCTTCAGATGGATATTCGTCATCAGTCAAAGGCAGCAAATCATCTGTTTCTAAGTATGGCAGGTGAGCAGTTGCTGTATTGCCTAGGTCTTCTTCTATAAGTGTGGAAAGAATTGGTTGCTGAATGCTTGGTTCATCATATACTTGATCCCAATCATCTGCATAATCGTAAGTCTCGGATTATGATTCATAATCGTAACAATAATCCCACTCTCCATAGAAGTCATCATCGTTAAAGTCTTGTGAA